AATGTTCAGATAATGCAAGCTCATATGTCCATGAAGGTGCATTAGTGGCTGGCAATCATCCTGAGTGGTGGTGCCCTAACAGTCGTTAAATATTTGGCACATTCCTTCTATGTAGAACATTATATATTTGGTGAATAAATTAAGGGATAGTTAGAATTTGTCTTGGAAAATCTAAAGTTACTGGCCTTTGATATCGATGACTCAGGTAAACAAATTAGGCTAAATGAAATGATCTATGAGGTTATATCTATTTTTTCTTTGCTAGAGTAGATGTTTACCTAACTGATATGGGATTTTTAATGTCTAATAATGTCTCTTCAATTAAAAAATGCAGTCAATAAAGAACAAATTTGAAAGCCAAATGAATAATTTTAAATTAAAATCTGCGTAAGTTTATATTTTATTAAGTCCAGAGTTCTTATTAATATTTTGTTTGTCAATTATATTAAGTCATTTGCAATTTAATATGATTGATTTTTTGAGAGAGTTGATCAATTCAAAATTACTTAGAACCTGAGAGTTTTCCCTACATCATATGAACATATTCTTGTTATCAAAGACTACAGAGAGTTAAAGTACTTTCAAAGACCAGAAGTAATGTAATATAATACTGAGATCAATTTTTTCTAAATAGCATATTAAGTGTTCCCATTTATTAACTGGCCAGCCAACATCTAGAATTGGCTGCAAGATTTAGTTTTAGTGAATTAAAACAATAAGCTAAATCTCTCTCTCTCTCAAATACCATGAAGTGATATAAAAATATGAATTTAAAAATGAATTCCCATGGAAGTTTTAAATCAAAGTTGAACAGTAATTGTATTTTATTGTCTTTTCCATAAAGCAGCTTGTCAGAATGTCCAGTCTTTAATGTATTTCAACCCACTATATTCATATTAGAGCTACATGGAAGAATGACACCATGAAGAATAGTGAACTTCTAAAGCATCTTCTGTAATTCCAGTTGGAAAATGTCATCAGCATTTTACCAGACTGTGTAAAGTAATCTTGGTTTTACTGATGGTACACATATGACATTTATCCTGCCTGCAATGTAATCTCAGCTAGCTCCAACTAAGAAAAGAGCAATGTAGTGACAAATGTAGTAATTAACATCTGGGTTTAGCGAGCAGGGAACAAGAAACATATGTTCACTATTAAGATAGGATTTATCCATTGGATTTATTTTGACATTTGATTTCTGCTTTAAAAAAATAACATTGCTTAAACCTTAAGAGAGATCATTCCTTATTTTAAGGGACTTTCATTAATGAGCAACAATACTGGGAAGAGCTAAAATCACAATGAATATGGCTTTAAAAATTTTGAAAACAACAGCTGTCTGCATATCTCAGCAAAATTCAAATATGGATGCACATTTGTTTAGGTGCTGCTATCATTTGCTATGACTTTTATACTCTTATTACTCTTTTTAAAGATCTTATTTAGTTTATAACACAACTCCACCAAAATTTAAAGAAGCAAAAGGAGCCTTGTTAGCACCACTATCATTTGCTTGAATGAAACTAAAAACACTGAAAGAAGAAAGTTTACGTTAGTTCTGAGGAAGTGAAGTTAAACAAACAAAAGCCAGGTGGATAGGGGACAAGGATGTCTAAACTGATCTACCTCATTAGAAGAGCTACTGGGATAGTGTATAATTGTGGTCTTCATTTACATCCATTTTCTATTATCAACAGTGTGTGTGTGTGTGTATGTGTGTATGTGTATGTGCGAGAGAGAGAGACAGAGACAGAGAGACAGAGAGCTGGAGAGATCTCAGAGATTCACAGGCATTCCTCCACTTGGCCTGCTCTTACATCTTTAGACTAAATGCTCACAGACCTCTAGCCCATCTAACTTAACTGATTCTGGACTTTAAAGGAGCCTCTTTATCTTATTCCCTTGACAAAGAGCAAGACTGCTTACCATAAAGAATGACCCTCGAAGGGCACATATAATATTAATATTTGATTTTAGCAAGTTAAGGTTGTCCAATTTTATATTCAAGCTGCATTTTCTACTTCCTTTTCTCCTCTTTTTCCACTTACTGCCATATATTATTCATGTCATGTCTATATTTATCACCCTATTGTAAATCATTGAGAATAAAGTGTATATCGTTTTATTTTAATCTCTCTGATTTCTTCTCTACAACCAATTTAAAGCTCTTAATCTAGAGTGTTACTCATAGTAAGTGCTCAGTAAAAATTTAAAACCTTTAAAAAGTTATGTACAGTGATGTAAAATTTTTAAATAGTTATAAATAAATATACCATATAACTAAAAACAGAATGTGGGTTTTAGTGTATAGGGATAATAGGATTATCTCTGCTTTTTCTATACTGCCATATGACAAGCAACTATGAAAGAAGAAAAATATTTTTAGAAGGACTTTTCTAGAATCAGAGATGAAGATTATCTTATTACAGAAATATTCAACACAAATAGTATAGATTCACTTTAAATCTCTTGTTTTATTAGGAAGAGGAAAGAAAACTTGTGAATGTATAAAAACATCTTTTAAGCAGTTCATATCATGTAAAATAATAAAAATATTTATGGCGCATAGACTTTATGATTGCAATGTTTATGTAGATAGCTGTGTTAATACACATGAGGAAACGGGGCTACAACAACAATACAAAACTTTAAAAATCTCAAAATAACATGATTTACTTTGGAATTATTTATGTGATTCTTAGGCCAATAATGCTTTGTTTAATCTTAAAATTATTTTTCATTTCCTGAAATGATATAAACAAATTGGTTCAGAGAAGTGTCCACAAACATCTGGAGATGCATAAAGCTTTCATGACTAACCCATTTGAAGCAAATTAAAAATTGACCACATTGTGCATCACAGAAGACCTGAGTTGTTAGTCAGGACACACAGCTTATTAATGCTGATTGACGTCTGATAACATCACCATTGCTCTACCACGATTTAACTCATATACTGAGTATTGTCTCAAAGCCTATAAAATTCCTCTGGAATAAGGGAAAGAAAAACTCAACAAGTGAAGTTACAAAAGTCTTTGTGAGTCCACTGCATATCAACATAGAAAGAATACAGACAAGGACTGTAAGTCCCTTTGTGGCAGCGTCCATGTCTGATTCGGCTTTCTGCTTTCTAGAATAGAGTTTCCCAAACCTGGCTGAGCATCTGTATCACTTGGGTTATTCAGAAAAACAACAGAGATACCTACACATTCCTTTCTACCTTTAGAACCAGCATCTTTTTTTTTTTTTAAAGCAAAGAAATCATGTATTTATTTGACAACCGCAACAATAATTGAGTAAACACTCATTTTATTCATAAAACTATGTATACATTATACAAAAACCTTGGGTTCCATTCAATTGATTTAATCCAACAAGTATTTCCCAGTCTTCTATATGCTTATTCCATGCAGGGTGTTAATCAGAGTATGGAGGAATATAAACTGGTCTTTGTCATCAAGACTCAAAATCTATGCAAGAAGGTAAGGTGAGAGAGTAGTATGAGATTAAATAATCGGGTGCCAAGTTACACTTTTAAAAGATCCCAAATCTATGGTACAGACACTAAATATTAGGCATAGTTAGCTAAGCAATAAAGAGTAGGTGCTGGCTAGAGCTACCTGGCACACTTCAAAAACTTTTCAGAGACAATATCCAGTTGGCAGCAAAGAAAGATGCATGCTGCCACCCAAGTGATGACTAAATTAAGCTCTACTTTCTTCTTAGAATCTAACATTTTGTAATTACTTTTAATTCACTCCAAACCAACAGGACAGCTTTGAATTTGAATATCATCAGCAGAAAATGTTTGCTCTTGCTAAGACACATCCTCATCCCTACCAGTTGGAAGGTAAAAACAGCCCTCAAACTTCAGCTGCCAGCGTTAGCCAAGGGAGGCCAAGAGGGGCAAGCAGGGGTGGAAATGGCTCAGGATGTGGCCTCTGAACATACTTTCTAACCCCCCGCTCCCCAGCTTGTTCTGAAACCACTGATCACTAGGTGCTATTTTGGCACCCCTAGACAGAGAGTACACAATGTAAGCAATCAATAAACATTTGTTGAATGACTGAGACATTAGTTTTGAAAGTGGCAGCTAATATGCCAGTGCTCTCCAGTGCTTACATTTAATTTTTGTTTATTTGGAGTCTATTCATACAGTACTACTTTACTTATTTTGGAGTAGAGAAAGGGCAACTAATAAATGAGAGGTACGTTGTATATCTCAGGAAGGTATCGTACCCTAAATAATCACTGCAAAATCAACTGAGCTAATTGTCAGGGTGATACTTTTGGAGGAAAGTACATTTATAATTTCGGCTTCTTTGAGTGTGAGACTATTATGTGGCAAGGTGGGATTTCCCTCCTTTAAACTCCAGTGTTGGAAGGTGGATGAAATATTCTCCCTTGATGTATTTTTAGGATCTGTGATTTCATAATAGTATTTCACGTTTGATGGTATAAATGCCTTTTCCTTTTTCTTCTCCCTTCTTTGTTCTTTTTGCACTGTAACCCTAGACTTGAATTCAATCTGAGTTAAAAACAAGGTGGTACCTGAAATTTCTTGAGCCTTTCTTTCCCTAAATACTGACCAATAGAGACTAAAAGCAACACAAAACAAAATAAAAACATCTCTCCTCGGGGCCTCTACAGTAGTACTTTCATTTAGCACATTCGCAAATGTGGATGTGATGTAAACTGCAAACTGTGTGTTTGGTGGTTTTGTTCGTATGTCCCTACGCAGCAATGCGTGTGATGGGCAGCAACATTCATTAAGCCTCGTTGTGCTAAACTTCTCCTTTGCAAGCCTTCCTTACCTCTGCGTGCCTGGCTCCTTTGCCTTCTGCCCTCATGACAGCCCTCTGCTAACACTTCTGTGTTAATGCATCCTGTGAGCTCTCTCAGCACACACATGTAGGAGTTTCCTATTGAAACCCTGCTGCCGAATGAAGACGGACCCCAACATTCACCCTCTTCTCATCAGACCCAGAAATCAGAACCTTCTGTACTTTGCACTTACTTGCTTCAGTTACTGGATAAGTATTGGCATCAAACAGTTTTAGTATTATCGATAAGAGAGCCCTCAGCATGTAAAGATGACAATCTCTCCACAATGCCTTCAGCCCTTTTTTATTTTTACAGATAACTGCCATATCCACAGCCCTCGACTACAGTGTAAGTGAAAAGACATGACCTTCAGAGCATGTCAGAGTCAGTAAGGGACATTAAGATGTCAGCATTCCATGTTCTTCTTTAACATGTAGAAATCACTTGGAGTCCAACGGAATGAATTAAGTTGTCTTGATCCTTTGTAGGGCAGAAGCCTCTGTCATAATTCAATTTCCAATACCGATAGATTGAGACAGAAGACCAAATATCATAAAAAATGTTGCACAATTTACATTGAGAATGCAAGTACAATATCTTGCTTTCCTCTTGTTTAGCTTTCCTAATATCTAACACTGTTTTCAACAATTATGTCTTTGTTTCCTCCAACTACTGACATTATTATGCCCTAAGTTTCCCTATCACACTATACTATTCTCATGGTGAGCACAGACTGTTAATTTTTTTTGTCTTTGCTCATAACAGACACATTGCAAATGTGATTTGCAAGAGCTGAGTGATCTTTCTGGAGGCACAAGCATGACTGGGTGCACTATTACCGCTCATCCTTTCTGCCCGGGGCGAGGCAGCGTTCCTGACTTGGCACTAGGCAGCCAGTGGAGCCTGCCCCTGAGCTGGCAATGGGCAGGACTCCCAAGATCATTCTCTTCTAAGCTGGAGGTCTCTGTCCTGAATTTCATATGGGATTATATATTGGAATGAGGGAAATTATTGAAACTACTATTAATATTTATTTTGCAGTATTATCCAAAATTTTTTCTAAATTTTCTATTTTCCTACAAGTTATAAATTTTTATCACTATTTGTATAGTAGTTTATGTATCAAACACAAATAAATAAATTATATATTTTGGAAGCATGAGCTATTTAAAAAAAACTTAATAAGATATAAGAATAAACGAGTTTAGAGACCACTGCTAAACACTTCTCAGGCGCAATCTTTCAATCCCTTAAGTTTCAGACAGCAACATAAATCTTATCATAAGCTGATACATGCTAATGATTCTGTCATCATTCATTTATTCATTAAAAAGTATTTAGTAAACATTGATAAGAGTTACTAATCGCGCTAGGCATGAGGCAAAAATAGAAAAGCATATAGTCATTCAGTTCTTTAAGTTTCCAAATAGGAGAAAGCGTGTAACCATGATGTTTTGGTTTTACAGCTCCGTTTGTCCAGCAGGAGTTTTCTCGATTCTATTTACCAACTGATACTTGCCCTTTAATATCAACTTGAATGCCAGACCCTCTAGGATGCCTTCTCTAACGCACTTGGAACGGAGTTAAGTATACCTCCTTAAGTGTTCAGGCACTTGTCCTTTGATACAAAGCAGCATCTCCCGCTGAGAGTCTACCAGCCTCGAGATAATATTACAGTACAATGTTCTTGAGTCCATATTTGCTAAGAATCGATAATCTAGTAGGATACTTGAGTACCTGCTATATTAGAGGCCAAATGACTGAGCATGTCCAAACTGAAAAATAAATGGAAAGATTTTTATAGTTTGAGATAGTTCTCAAACATTAGTGTGCATCAAAATCTTCTGGAGGGCTTGTTAACACACAGATTGCTGTGTCCCAGCCTCAGAGTTTCTGATTTGGTAGACCTAGGATTGGGCTATTAACTTATATTCTTATGAGTTTCAAGATGAGGTTTTCCCAGCACAGTACAGGAATTTGAGAACCACTTGTCTTAGTAACCGGTGAAGGGGATATAAAACTTTCACCACTTGCTCCCTACTATGCACAATCCAATGCAGTCATTATTGACAACTCAGTTTTCTCTAGTGGTCCTTAGGACACTTAGTACCGGAATTGTGGAATTTTCTTCTTTAATTGGGTCTATTTGTCATCAAACCACAATATTACCCAACTAGGAGACACAGCAAAAGGCCAACATACTGAACCAGTAAGTGTATTTTATAATTAGAAGGCGATTTTTAACATATGTATATTATATTTTTTAATAAGTTTTCCTGATATGTACTGATTCAATCTATTACATGGTATTTAATTAAAGAAATTCAAACTATGACTGGAGAAATAATCTCGTCAAAAGCCTTCTGCAAGATCCAAGTGGAGAGGAAAGGTTGTTAAATTGACAGCTGAGAAAAATAGAGCTCTTTGTCCTTTTAGTAAGTTCTAGTCATGGGGTTAGTTGTTGTCTTACTGTTACAATGTCTGTAATTCACTTTGAAATATGTCGGCATGTACGGCATGATATTTTTTATATATATATATACACACACACACACACACACACACACACACACCCCTTCTTGGTTCTGTTTCTCTGGAGAACGCTGACTAACACAACTCTCTAAGGCTTAGCTTTAGTTGTTAATGACTTGGCTTGGCCTCCAAACTCTTACCTCCCAAGAATGCAGAGATCCATCAGAATTGTGTCCTTGCATTTTCTCTTACATCCTTGTGATAGGTAGAGTGAGGCCCCCCCCACCTCCCTCAAAGATTTTCTAATCCCTGGAAACTGTGAATATGTTACCTTACACAGCAAAGGAGACTTTATAGATAAAATTAAATTAAGAATCTTGAGATGGTGAGATTATCCTGGATGATCCAGGAGGGCCCAAGGTAATCACTAGGGCCTTTCTGAGAGCAAGGCTGGAGGGTCAGAGTTAGAGCCAGAGAAGATGGGACGACAGAAGCGAGGTCAGAGTGTGCTACTGCATTGCTGGAAGGGAGCCACAGGCCAAGGAACGCAGGCAGCCTCTGTAAGTCAAAAAGGTTTCAGAAAGAACCAGCCCACCAACACTTTGCTTTCTGTCCTGTAAGACCCATTTTCAGACTTCTGTATTCCAGATTGAAAGAAAATAGATTTGTGCTGTTTTAAGCCACTGAGTGTGTGGTAATTTGTCACAGCAGCAATAAACAGATTTAGATTTTTTAAAACACAATTTCTTTCTGTTTTTTCTCACTCATGACCTTCTCTATACTGTTTGGTTCTACTTGAGACACTTCCCAGGCCACCTCTATTAAATCTACTCAGAGTTAAAGGCCTAGCTTAGATGTTCTCTTCTCCCTGAACCCTTCTTCTTATCGTAGTTGGAGGTGATTCTTACCCCTCTAAACTCTAGAGCGTCTGGTAGCACTGATAGTCCACTTATCACGTATCATTTCTTTGACCTTATTTGAGGCTGAGGTTCTATACCTCTTTTGCTGCTCTGCAGTTCCCAGTTCATGGATTTTACACATACTAGGCATACATATTCATTGAATGAATGAACCGAAGAATGTTACCATAAAATAGTCTTAAATACGCCCAGTAGTAATATATAAAATAGTTGATATCTCATGTAAAAATATAAAAATAAATTGTAACATACGTTTGCAACTTCATATGATCCATTTAATAACTGTTCCATGTAATGATTTAGATCTCTGAATCTTTTGTGATCTGAATTTGTAAATGGTAAGTGCCACCAGTGAGGAAACCTGTTTTAAAAGAAAAAAGTATGCCTTCATTAGTTTGAAAATTGGCCTCAGTATCTTAGCATTGTTCATGAAGTTATAGCTATATTAGGTGGAAGTTGCCAATGGAAACATTTGAACACATTTGAAAACATGAATCAGATAGTCTACGAGTTTCATTAACATGGCTGTGGTCACTGGTGCTATTTTAACTGTCATTAATATTAATACTAATTTAATTTAACATATTAAATTAATTTATATGTCCCTTCTTACTGTATTTATGGCAGACCACACATTTTGTCCTTTAAATACATGTGGGGGTTTAATACTTTCAGAAGTTAATGATTCATAATTTAAAAAAAAATTCATATTACATTGTTTCTTCTGGGTTCACTAGAGACATTGTTACACTAACTAAATTAAATATTTTATGAAGTGACATATGCTTCCATCTGGTCTTAGTCTTTTGGAACAAAGTGACACTTTCCCCAAGAGTCTGACTTGCAGAATTTCCTCTGCATTATCTGATGGTTCGTCTTCATGAACTGAACTTGATTAAGACCAGTTATTAGGTAAGATGACCTGCTAAGGGGTAGCATTTGGCAACACATTTTACTATTTAAATATATCTTTTTAGAAACTACCTAGCAGCTTCCTCTGACTGCAGTCTTACTACTGCCTTATCCCCATGTCTGCTTCTTTGGCAGAGACCAAGGATGGCTACCATTTTTCCAGGGGAAATAAATGAGAGGATAGGGAAGGGCTGTCAGCAAACACACAGAAGAATGTGACAATTTCATGCCCACCCCACTCACTGGTTCCTGCTAGAAATGTCAGGGAAGTCCAAAATTCTATGTGCGTATATTTAACTAATTAACGTTTTATTTTTTAAAAAATTTCTTGCAGCTGTAAGACTTAAAGTACTAAAAGATTTAGTTATTGTGAAAATGAATACCAATACACAATTAATAAAAAATATCACATAGAATATACATATTTAAATATATATGTATAGTAACTTTTGGGGGGAAATGAATTTGATAAATGATGTATTAGGCTGGTTTGAAATATTAATTCATATATCTGTGTTTGAATTTCCCTTATTTCTAGAATAAAACAGAACTTATCATCAATTCTATTCCTTTGTTAATGTTTTTATGGATATATGTACTAAAACATCTTATGTATAAATAAGTAAATGAAATTTGAGGAATTTTGCTATAGTTTAATTGTTTGAAGTTTTTTGAATTATATGCTAAATATAACACAGCAATCAGTTATAGAAAATTCTATTTTATGATCTTTTATCTGACAATGCCATTGTGCCCTCACTCCATTTTGTTCAAAATGAAGATTATAAAACACTGGACTTGCAAATAGATTTGATACTCTGCCTATTAATTTATTTTCTCAATACCAACACCAATATTTTGGTTTGTCCCTTTGTCTGGGAGAAGAGCCATGGTGAAAGCAGAAGAGGGAAAGGAAGTCAACTCTCCTCAAGCAGACTAATTTTTAAAAAGATTATTAATTTTAAGTGATATTTTCATGTCTGTGTACTCTTGGATGGTACCTGGAAGTGCCAATAGTCCGATTCGAAGACCCCTGTTACATGCTAGGACTAATTAGAATTTTATTCTTCATGAGTCTGACTTTCTGATCATGCTTTCCAGGTCGGATTTACATAACTCTCACAGGGCTTCTCTCAGTAAATTCAGGAGTCAGAGGAAATCTTGCCCTCATCCTTCCTGTATCTGCATCGTCGTAAGCCTTGGCCACTTTGGGAGTATGAGGATACAAATAGGGTTCAGGGCGCATAGGACTAAATGTTCCTCGCCTCCACAGATTGCTTACGTAGTTTGAAAATCAATTTAGGTACCATTACCAGGCAGCAGTTGTTAGCAAAGCGGAATCCTAATGAAAGCTGAAATTGAGAAGAGACCTGTGGGGAGAGATTATTGGCACTTTTAAAGTTTTACAAGTTATATTGATACGTATTGCAGAGGTACAGTGAAGAACGGAGACATTTTTAAAACAAAAAAGGACAGCCATTAAACAAGGATTAACTTAGACTTCTAAATTATTAATTAGTAGGGTATGACGGCAAACACTGATGTTGCATTCAGGATATGCAGCCAAACTTTGAATTTTTTTGCCTCTGCCTTTTTTCTCAGTTATTCTATCAGATGTTTTTTGATAATTCTTAAACCTGATGTTACTTGTAAATGTTTCCAGAATGACTTTATCTCTTTCTCAGTCTCTTGAACATGCTCTCACTGCAATAACTCGAATCTCTTGACTTCCCGATGTTTAGAGTGTCTGTATTTTGAAATATCTATGACATCTGCCAATACAGCTTTTTTTCATGAATGTGAACTACTCAGTTTTCAATACTGCACAATATCTCCTCATCTCTTGATAGCGTTGTTTATATTTATACTTTGGAAGGTGACTAAACCTGAATGCCAAGTACAAACCCACATGTACAAAGTATGTCAGGTAAAGTATGAACACTTACATTGCAAAAGGACCATTTACTTAACAAAAATCCCACTGTACATAAAATAACATTAGATTTATCTAAGGGCAATATCATAATTTCTGGAAAGCTCACCTTTTTAAAGTGAAGATACATCTTTGTTATAAACTGAAGTCTATGATCTAAATTTGACTGGTTGTAAGTGATGAATTTGAGAAGGTTTATTTGAACAGTAGTTAATTTTATGATATTTGTTGTTTGCTTATGTTTAACAGTTTTTCCATTATAACATGAATGGAAACCACAATTTTCAAGATGGGTTTAAAATGAACATAATAACAAATTAAATTTGATAATACAGGTTTATAATAATTTAAAAGTCAATAATTAATGACAGCAAAAGCAAGTTATTAATATACTAGTTGACATTAATGCATTTGAATTTTTTTTTGGTCCAGAAACTCAATAGATGAGAGTTCTTTATAACAAGTATTTGTTGAAAGAGTAGATATATCCAATTTTGTTCTGCATTTTCAATTTCAATTGTATTGTTATAGAAAAAAACTAAGAGAATTCAAATAAGACAATTTCCCCAATAATTGGTAAAAAATGAAATAGCTTTTGAATTTTTCTGTCTACAAAATCAATGGCTGGAAGTAAAAAGAAAATTGCAAACCTTGTTCTGTTTTATGAGACAAAAGATCCTTTGCTCTGAGAGCAATGCAGACTCTCTGCCGGGATAGATTCAGTGGCACTGGAGTCAGAATACTGTGTTGCTCACAAATAGAAAATCCCATAACCATAATTTTTCCTTTTGCTCAAGGACAAGTACTGAAGGCAAAACAATGTGAAAGGACAATGCCTTACTCTGGGAGAGCCAATGATGGAAACTGCTTCTGAAGTTGGCTGTGAAGTTTTGAAAACTGGTCAAATGATTTTTCTGTCAGGCTCGTTTCATTGTCACTGTGTGTCACCTGGATCAGATACAGCTGCAGAAAGCAAATAGACAAAAATCAAAAGACAGCAATGTCAACGTGTAATACATTGTAAAATCTGATTTCATGGAAACTCTACAAAGCAAGAACCTTTTTGCAGGAAAATTAGCACTAAAGCTAAGAGATGCAATTTGTAGAGGCAAAATTACCTGTAAACACAATCTACAAAGATATCATAATCTTATGTGCTGAAAATAGACTGCCTAATTTCTGCTGTTCTTTTCTTGTGGACACTTTAATTAGCTCTTAATTTATCTTCCACCACAGGGCAGGAACTGTTCTCTTTGATGGTTCTCTACTAATAGCTCTTGCTGTTATGATTTTTCCTTAGAACGTTCTCTTAATGGCACTTCTGCTTCAAGTGTAACCGATTTTTCATTTGCATAGTAAAAAAATCATGCTATAGGAAAAAATATGTAGCATAGTGAAGGGAAGTCTGAGGTGAAGTCAAATAATATTTAAGTCAAGGTGACAGATTTTAGACTTACATTGCTGGGTTTCTTGCTGAACCCTAAAATTGTTGCTCTTTGAATTGACCTGGTTGTCCTGAGCAAACAGGATTCCTGGGGAAAAATCTGGGAAGTAGATTTGGCAGGGCTTGTGGCTGACATTTGTGCAAGTGTGTGGATCAAGTTATTCAATTTAACAGGGAAACACTCCAGACTTTCCTTTATTTTCCTAGAGAAATGACAAAGAAAAGATAGTGAGTAACATTCCCTTGCATCGGATCATTTCATTTATGATCTATTTCCTTGTGTTTGTTAATTGTGGGGGGAAAAGCCAACATCTATGTATGTTGATTTGGAGTCCAGCTATTAAATGTTATTTATATAAACTTCAAGTTCACATCTGGAATTGTTAGCAAATATACCAGAAAGTCTTGTGATGAAATATAAAACTAATTGCAATATTGTGTTTTTACTTTTTTTTAGGTTTGTTTTATTTTGTTGTCTATTTTTCGGGATTATTTTTTCTATGAAATTCTAGTTTATAGTTATTTAAAATATTTAGGCAATTCCAGAATTTAAATCTACAAAATAATGTATATTTAAAGAAGCCTAGCAGCTATTCCCATACTCTCTGCCCTATTTCCTTCCTTCTGTATTTCAACAG